CCCAGGGAGAGGGATCAGTGAGCGGCCGGCACCCCCGGGGCTCCCACGGCCAAGACCTGCCAAGACCGGCCAGTGCCGGCGGGGCCTCTCAGAACTGGGGGGGAGGTGGGAGAGGGCAGTTCACGCTGTCACCTGGATTTTGGGGAGCACCCAGCCGCCCATGCTCAGACTACAGCCTGCCTGGGGGAGGGTCTGCAGGGGCGCCGCTGACTGGGCGTGTTTCTGGGCTCTGTCTCCCCGCCCCCCCAGCCTCACGGGAAAGATGAGGGAGAAGGGCGGGGCGCAAGCCCCAGTGCCTCCCTGCCAGGACCACATCCCTTTGGGGCACTTGGCTCAGGCCCGTGGTTCTTGCCCCCGCACACCTGCCCTTCTGGAATTCTGGGACGTGGCTGGGGATGCCCTACCCTGTGCCGCTGGGCCCTGCCTTCCCCCTCCTCTACCAGGGCAGCGCCCCAACTTGCAAGGGAGGCCTGGGCCTTGGTCCCGCCCTGCTGGCAGACACCCACCTTGAAGCCATCTTGGGTGGCGATGAGGAGCACCTCGAAGGGCTGCCCGCCCTGGAAGGGGATCCCCTTGCCGCGCTCCTCTGTGCCCCAGGTGCCCCTCTCCAGGGAGTTGAAGACCACTGTGGACTCGTCCAGTCTGGGGTTGAAATGCAGGGCGGCCTCGCTGTCCTTCTCGTCACTGCACAGCAGGTTCACATAGAACCTGGAGGGGGGGGGAGGGGCGCCTCAGCAGGGGTGGAGACCACCCCCCACCCCACGCTGGGACCGTGGGCTGGACTCCCCAGAGAAATCCTCTACCAGGACCTGGGCACATCTTACCACACAGAGTAAGGGATTGCGACGGGTGGCCAGGAAGCCCAAATCTGTGGGCCACTGCATAGGGTCACTGTGCGGGGACCTGAGTCCCCTTATTTCCAAACCATTTAGAAGTTGCCAGAGGTGCGGCCAGAGCTCCGGATTCCCAGAGCACCTCCAGTTCCCAGAGGACAGGACAAAAGCAGGTGCCCATCTGGTCTGGGGCTCTGAAGTTCCAGGCCCAGGAGGCCACAGGACTTCCCAGACTGAGCACCTCCAGGTCAGGGGCTATTTCTAGAATCCTCCAAGGCTCAGACGGCAAGCTAGAGGACAATTGCAGGTTGCCCTGGAACCCCCAGATTCTTAGGAAGATGTAGCGACCCCAGTGTGCAAGTTAGCGGAGACATCAGATTCCAGAAGGGCATTACTAGTCGGGGTGTTCCGAGACCCTGGTGCCCCCCTCTTAGGCTGAGACTTCAGGTGAAATTCAGAACCACTCACTGGGCCCTGAGGACTCACCTGCTAGCCTTGTCAGGAACGATACCCCGAATTCTCATCACATTGCCTGCTCGGATGCCCTCGGGCAGTGAAGTCTTGTGGGGTACGTTCTGCAGGAACAGAGATGAGGGCCCACAGAGTGTACCAAGGAGAGGAGAGAGGAGGAAGATGGATCAGCCCCGGAGAAAAGGACCCAACCAAGACCCACACAAGCAGAGAGGAGGGGGTGGCTGGGAGCAGGGGGAGGGGAGGCGCAATCTGCAGACGACAGGACAGGAGCCAGGAGGCTGAAGCCAGGGAGGCGGGAGCCGGGACCCGGGAGGTGACCCGGCAGCCACAGCCAGACCCCCGCGGGCACCCCAGCACCCACTCTCTCCTCTGCAACGGAGACCCGGCCCAGCTCCCGCCCCCCTACCCCCAACTCACAGTCATGGCTGGGTGGGACAGGCGTGTGCTGACTGAGGCTCCGGGCCCTTAAGTCAAAGTCGGGCCAGGGCGTGGCAGGTGCTGCTGACTGGCCCCACCCCTTTCCACACCCACCTCCCACACCTGAGCAGGCAGCAGCCCCAGGCCAGGCTCCCTCTCTGGCGCAGCACCCACTCTGGGGGCCTCAGGTGCCCCACCTGGCTGAGAAGCAGCCTGGGCTGAGGGGACGGGCGCTAACAAGGAGCCGCGGCCAGCCCTGCCTTCCAGAGAGCCCTTGCACCCCATTTTTATTTCTTTGTTTTACATCTTTTTAGATTTATTTATTTACGCATACAGAACTGGGGTACAGGCCAGAGGTGCTGGGGGTTAGAGGATTCACCAGAGACAGAGTGGGGAGCACGACATGCAGATTGATAAAGCACACTGCTGAGGGGAGCAGCGGACGGGTCAGGAGAGGTCTGCCGCGCCATGTGGGTCACCTCCGGGGCAGGCGGGAATCGAACTCATGCCGAGGTGGCTTTAGATTCTCAGTGCTGTGCTTTAACCCGCTGCGCCACCAGGAAACCCCGCTTTTTAAGGGCAAGTTGGGTGCCGAGTGAGTGCCGGGCCCTTCTCCCCGGGGTGGGGGGCTGGCTGCTGAGGCCCCGAGGTGCCCGCCTGTGGCTGGGGCCGCTACTCCGCCCCTTTCTCTTTCCCCTCACAAACCTGTCCTTTAAAAATGTCAAAAAACCCAACACCCCGAAATCCCAGCTGATGCTTCTGTCTGTAATGTTACAGGGCTACAACCATCACCCAAAAGGGAGCCCCTGGGGCAGGAATTGGGCTGAAGGTCAAGGCCACATCCTGGGGCCTGGAGCAGCATGGGGGGCCGGGCAAGAGGGAATTAGAGATTCAAGCTGCCACTCGCTTAGCCCTGGGTTCCCTGGGACAGGAGTGGGGGCATGGGTCACCCCATTTCACAGGCAGGGGAACTGAAATCAGAAAAGGGAGCATCCCAAGGGCACACAGCCAACTCCCCGGTCTCTGCAGGGCTTCACCTTCTGGGCTCCGTGAAGCCCTGGGCTCGGGGCTCTGTCTCCCCTGGTCTCCCCAGCTCCACCTCCCAGACTGCTGCCATCTCCTTCCTACAGTAGATTTCAGGACGAGGAGATGAAGACCCAGACCAAGGAGGGGACACATGGCCTCCCCCAGCCCCATGTGAGACCCTGCACCCTACACTAGGAACCTGGAGGAAAAGAGCTGGCTTACGGGAGCGTGCAGGTACTTCTGGAAGGCGGGGCAGAGGGCCAGAGGGGATCTGAGCAGAGATCCTTCCTCCAGCCCTGCAGCACCTCCCCACCCCCACCCCAAGTCCCAGCCCGCAGAGGACTGGAAACTGGGTGGAGGCCAACAGGCTCAGAACCTGCTCCACCGCCCTCCGCCCCCAGGCCTCCCAGGCTCTCACCACCCCCTACACACACACACTGGGGTGCCTGGGAGGGGGTGCAGATGGGGGAGAAGGTACAGCATGCACCTCTACTTCGCAGGGAAGAAAAGGGGTGCTTGGCAGAGCCAGCTCTCAGCCAGGGCCATGCAGTAGAGGGCCCGAGGCCTGCAGTGACCTGAGCCCATGTGCAGGACTGCTCGGGGACTTCCATGGGGCAGCGGGCGGGGCCGACACCAGCCAGTAGTGGGACGTGCAGGAGGATGGTGTCCAGCCATTCCACTAGGCACCCCGTTCCTGGGCCTTGTGCCAAGTAGGGTGCCGGGGCCCCTTGCTCAGTGTGTCCCGAGTTCTGGCCGGGTGTCTTCCACGTTCTGCGAGCCCACGCTGACTTGGGGTGGCCCCGTGTGCGGTTGAGCCTTTGTAGGTGGGTTTGTCTCCACTTCCCCCAGCTCAGTCATGCCTTCCCTGCAGGCTTAGTCTCTGGCTGACACTCGTGCTATAAAAGCTTTTTTTTTAAAAAGATTTATTTATGCACACAAGAGCTGGGGTGTAGGGCAGAGTCAGAGTGGGGAGCAGAACAGGCAGATGGACTGAAATGCACTGCTGAGGAGAGCAGCGGGCGAAACAGGAGAGGTCTGCCGCGCCGTGTGGGCCGGCTCCCTGGCCGGGGATCGAACTCGGGCTGCAGTGGCTTGACAGCTGCATAGTGCTGAGTTTTCACCCCTGTGCCACCAGGGAGAGCCCCTTCCTATCAAATCTTGGGAAACGTTTTCAGGAACTTTTTTTTTTTCATTTTCAAATTAGTAGTGAATATATTTCATAGAATACTTTTTCTTGAGGATGCTGCAGTGTCACCTCTGGGGTTCTGCTCCCAAAAGTGCATAAGCCAATGCGAATAACAGGAAACAGCAAACCGGGACCATGCAAAGCCTCAAGGTCTTAAATGGCAAAGGAAGCCCGAGTTGATTTCCAGGAGACAGAAGCTAAAAAGACACGAGAGTGTCCCCATGGCCCATCGCCCCTGGATTCTTTGCCTCCAGGGACATCCCAGACAGTGCAGAACATGATGAGGTGAGGGCCTGGTGGCTCTCGGGCTCCATGTGGAATTCCAGATGTGAGTGCGGTGGGAGAATGCCCACCCTAAAAGTCCAGGCGGAGTCAGAGGTGATGCGTGTCCTCTGGAGAGTTCCTCTCATGAAACCGTAGGAACAGCTCATGGCTGTTTGCAGCGTCTTCAGGGTTTCTGCTTTACTTGAAGGATAATCGACACATTCGTTCCCAGCATGCAGCACCGTGGCTGGGCATTTGTAAACACTGCAAACCAACTGTCCCGGGGCCTCCCTGGGGGCCGTGGCGCAGGGGTTAAAGGCGCAGCACTTTCAAGCTGTTGCCAGCCACTACAGCACGAGTTCAATCCCCGGCCAGGGAGTGACCCACAGGGCGCAGCAGACCTCTCCTGTCTCCCGCTGCTCCCCTCAGCAGTGGGCTTCAGTCAGTGGGCTCCCCACTCTGTCTCTGGTGAGTTCTCTCACCCCTGCATCTCTGGCCTGCACCCCAGTTCTTCTATGCATAAATAAATAAATCTTTTTAAAAATGGAAAAGAATGCTCCACCACATGCAGCTCCCGAATGGGTATAGTCATCAAGGACCAGTGGGAGAAGGGACTGCGCGGGTGAGTTGTGGTGGGAATTTCATGGGGAAATGATACATTGTACAACAATGAGGGTGATATAATGAATCTATTTTAAAAATTAAAAAAACGAGTGAGTGCGTAGTCTTTAGGGCGGTTCACAGTGACTTGTGAGAAATGGACCTGAAGTGAAACTGATAACAGATTGATGCACACTTTTGGCCCAGCACCACGTCAAGTTTGGGCATGCAGGTTGGCGGGACGTGTAGAGAGCCCAGCTCCAGTGAAAGCCAGGAGAGAGCTGAGTTGCTGGGACAGAG